GCAAACATAGGGCTGGAGCAAAGGTGTGCCACTTCTTAGGCATGTGGCCATTAGGCAAGTTCCTTAACCTCTCTGAGACCGATGTGTAGGATAAAGATAATAATCCCTCCATGAGTTAGCTGGGGTGTGCCGGCAAATAATGGGCTCTCAAAAAATCCAGACTTCCTCTCTACAGTTACCCAAAAACCTTTGCTTTACTTACCCAACCTGCTTCAGAAAATTAATATAAAATGAATCCTATAGCTTCCCTTCCAGGCTTCACATCAAGTTTGAAATGAGAGCCCACATAACTAGCAGCATGAGGAATGGAATTCGCTCAGGGAATTACATCCTTCATTAAAGGAGCCCAGATGGTGGGGAGCTGAAGGGATTTCCTTCAATTAGATTGCTGTCATTTTTTTTAAAAAGAAGGTAAAACTGTATTTAATTATTATTTTAAAAAGAAAAACATTTCAAATTTTTTAGAATATTTTATAGAGTTGGCCTGACCTTGGTAAGCTCTAAGAACAGCATTTCCCCACTAATTCTTATAAAACTGCCCCTGTAACATCAACCCTCAGATAACATGTAAGCAAGGAGCAAAGGGCTACAAACCTGAGTAAATAAAATCCATCTCAAATCCTCAAAACTCCACTTTTAGCCATTAGTTTCAGGATCTTCCTTTTCTAAGCCTTAGAAGAACCTGAATTTCACATATAACAAAATAAACTAAATTGAACCAGTCCACCTTCTCTGATGAGAACATGTTATCAATTTGAGTTCCAACTAAAAGGAATCCTGATATAACCCCATATACACTCTTGGGCAAAAAGTTTACAAAGATGCTACTCCTTAGCCCTGAGTATAAAAAGATCTGTTCTAAACCTGTTTTTACTTCTGAATCATTAGTTCTCTATCGATTAAAAATGAGGGAAAACCATTCTTTCTGGTATGTATCACAGTTGCATTTCTTTCCCCAATTTCTAAGACACTTAATTTCCTCCCACTGTCTCGATTCACTCCCAGATTCACTTCCTGCTAAGTACAGTATAACAGTTAAAACAGAAAAGGAGAAGGCTTCTCTATACTTTTACTGAATAAAATAGGTTTGTAACATTTTATTTCTCTTTCACTTCAAGTAGATTGGTATACTCTATTATTCATGTAATAGATTTTCTATCTATTTTCATGATAGAAAATGCTTGTTTTTAAATGTATCAAATGTAAACTAGTAATTAAGAGAGGCGACATATGGCTTTCTAATCTTTACATCCCAATCATAGTCACTATGCACAATATTGGCATTAAAAATGGCAAAGAATGATTCTTTCAAGGAAAATTAGATATAATTCCTATAAGTGATCATTCTGCAACATTATCAAGTGATCTAATTTGCATGTGTATTCTGATAAAGCCACATCCACACAGATAAACAGATAAAAGGCTATATCCAAGCTGAACCAAACAATATATTTGTATAAAAATTCTTTCTGTTCTATATTTCCTTATGTGGAAATAGGAACTGTTAATAAAATCCATCACTATTTGCCCCATATTGAGAGATCAGGAAAAAGTGGATAGAGTCCCAAAAGAGTTTTTACTCACTATATTATCACCTAAAATAAGCGTGGGAATCCAAAAATGTGATACAAATACATAAAAATAATTGGGGGGCATAAGCAACTTAGGTTTAGTTAGATTTGTGAATTATCCCAATCTTTAAAAAGTTTTCTTATGTTAAAACTTCCCTTTCAGATGTACAGTATGACAAGCATAATTAATAACATTGTATTGCATATTTGAAAGAGTAAATCTTAAACGTTCTCATCACAAGAAAAAAAATTAACTTTGTATGGTGACAGTGTTAAAGTCGACTTATTGTAGTAATGATTTCACAGTGTATACTAATATCAAATCATTGTTATATATCTGAAACTAATATAATGCTATATGTCAATTACAATGCCACCAACGGCATAAATTACCTTTCCTTTTGTATTCTACAGTGAAGAGAGTAAATTAGATCCACAACTTTATTTTAGGGATTTTATTTTAAATGGTATCATAGGAATTTATGTCATGGTATAAATAGTTTAGCAAATCTGGGACTTAGCAAAAATTTTCTTTACTACACAGGTCTTTGTGCAGATGTTTAGCAACAGATGACAAAATAATCTTGATGATTATACTTCCTTTGATTATTATTTGGACTACAGGTCGTTTAGAGAATCCCGATCTCAGGGTGATTGGCTAAAACCCCAAATTTGCAGAGTTCATCTCTGAGCCCTCGGCCACCGTAAGTATGTCAATGTGCATGCATCCTCTATAGGAATTACCACATAATGCCAAGTCTCCTACCCTGAGATGGCAGCAAGTTTTTGGTGCGCCTGACGGGCCATTTCACAGCCTTTGGTTCTGGTCTTGTGCATTTCCGCCCGGAGTGAGGGGCAGCTGACAGAGACGTCCCCGATAGAAATGACCAACTCTCTGTACAGGGCCACTTGCGTGTTGAACTCTTGGACAAGCTGGAAAAGAAGTGAGTTTCTTTCAAGAAACACTTCTCAGAACATTTCCTATTTTGGTGTACATAAACGGGTTTCACTGACCCTGGAGCCTCCCCCC